GAGTTTCCTCCAAATAAAGCTCTAGGGTAGTGCCCCTTCCACGGTGCAGATAATAAGACCTACAGCTTTTTTTTTTTAAATACTTATGTATTCACGAGAAACAGAGAGGCAGAGGCACAGGCAGAGGGAGCCTGATGTAGGACTCGATCCCGGGACTCGGGGTCATGACCTGAGCTGAAGGCAGGCGCTCGACCACTGAGCCACACAGGTGCCCAAGACCTATAGTTTAGCAGAAGGGAAATCAGTCGTCATATCATGGTCATGTTGATCTGGAAATTGTTCTAAAGCAGGAAATTTGCGCCTTGGTGGCCTGGTAGGACTTGGATAGGACTGCTGGTGGGAGAGGTAGGATGGCGTGCAAGCATGGGTGCAGCTCGGGCTGGGAACACCTAGACCAGAAAGCACAGATGCCTATTTTCAAAGGGTTTCAGAGTTCTTTTACGGCCCCATTCCCATAGTCTGTTTCCACACACAGTGGCCCTAACTTAGCATTGGGGTCTCACCGTGCTTGCATCACTCACCAGCCGAGTGACACCCTCGGAGTGTGGGTTTTTATCTTTGTAAAATGTCAGCAGGGCTAAGACCCTTTTCCTGGTGCTGCTACGGAAGTCATGCAGATGCTCTGCTGTGGTGAGGTGAGTCGCCCTCCTTCCCGCCAGCAGGTTCCTGTAAAGGAGGATCACATGCAGGTGGTGGGGCCCTCACCACTCTGGTGCTTCCAGAGTGCGTCCCCCAGGGGACTCTCCCTGCCCGGCCTCAGCTCGGACATCGCCTCCCTCAGACCATCTGCACAGAGCAGCCTCTGTGTACGAGAGGGACGTTCCCCCCGGGCTGTGTTATCCTTCCTGGTGTTGCCGTGTGGTATCTGTGGAAACGTCTAGTACTGGTTCTTTTTTTTAACTTAAATGTATAACTCAAACGCAGAGCATTCATTTGGTGAACTGCACCTCTGAGATGAAGGCACCCTCTCCTCGCTGGCACTTTGCAACATACTCAGTATTTATTGCTCTTAGATTTTGTAAACATTCTGTGCATACTCAAAAAGGATTTCTTCACTTTTTATTTTTTATTTTTTTTAAAAAATTTTTATTTATTTATGATAGTCACAGAGATAGAGAGAGAGAGGCAGAGACACAGGCAGAGGGAAAAGCAGGCTCCATGCACCGGGAGCCTGACGTGGGATTCGATCCCGGGTCTCCAGGATCGCGCCCTGGGCCAAAGGTAGGCGCTAAACCGCTGCGCCACCCAGGGATCCCTCTTCACTTTTTAAGTAAAGGATTCTGTACGTATTCATTAAACAGCACTGCAGTGTTCATTGTTTCAGGGTTTTATTCATTTTTATCTGTTTGCTCTATTGATTTCTATGAGAAATGTGTTAAAAGTCTCCCTACAAACATGAGTATCTCAGTTTTACACTGTACGTTTGTTGTGTCTTATGTGTATTTGTTCATATAGGTTTGGAATTGTTAGATTTTCCTGGCAAGTGGTTACATTATTACATCTCGCCCTTCTTTATGCCTAATGATGATGTTCATGTGTTACCTGGTTATTGTCCATTTTTCCCAATGGAAACAAAACCTCCTAGAGGACGGGGACCTGATCTGTTTGCTTCCTAGCCTAATGCCTGGCACTTAAGAGGTGTGCGGCAAATTTTGTCGGTGATAGGCCACATGGTTGGGAAGTGTAGGAGTTGGGTCACTCCCAGGAGCTCAGTGTGGAGTGACATCAATCGAGGGGGAAGAGGCAGTCGAGGAAAGCAGAAATGACTGAGGCAGGGTTAGATCTGCAACACTGAATTGCAATGCCTGATATTTTACTACCTTCTTGAGAGGAACAATAAACAAATACAAAGCAAAAACAAATACGTAATCATATATGATTGTTCAGAAATAAATGAGACTTTTCTTAAAAGGGGGAAAGAATATGAAAATGATATAGTGAAAGAAATGAACGTTTCTGGCCAAATTGGAGTCAAAGGCCTTCAAGCCTGAAACAACTGAAAAAAGCCAAACAATACTTGTAACAATATGTTTGAAGACACTGAACAGTAGATAATGAAAGAAGGCAAAACTGGAGAGGTGGGGAACACATGGGGGTGAGTCTCGTTGTCATCACCCAGCTTACTGCCTGGAGACTTTGCAGACTCGGCGAGGGAAGAGCACACTGGTGAAGCCTGGGCCTGTCTACCCGAGTTGAGGAGGAGTTGGCAGTCAGGAGGACAGAGCAGCTGTGGTTGATAGGACAGAGGAGTGAACTGCACAGAGTGAGAGCTCTGGAGACCTACAGAGGCTACCCCTCAAATCTTCAACTGAGTTCTGATTAGTGCATGTTTATAAGGGAACCACACAAGCTGGAGAGAGAGCCACCTAAAAGGAGACCAGGGAACAACCTTCAGAAGTTACACAGGGCTGAGAATAGTTCCTGGAATGGAATTTAAAGCAGTTAGATGTAGATCCTGGTTTCATGGCCACTTGTCACGCCCGTGTCACACTCCATATCACTGCTGTCAGCTAGCCAGTACCTAGGACCCCAGAACTGCTGTGACTCTGAAAGCGCCCTCCAATGCAGTCTTCAGCTCTAAGTGGCTCTGTGGGTGCCTGTGCATCAGAAATCAGTGCCACCACGGCTAGGGTGCTTGCAACCTAGACCTAGTGCCACAAGAGATCCCCCATGGCCACAACATCCCCTGTGGGAGAAAAAGTAATCAGGGGGGTCCTAGCAGGCTTTACCACCAAAGACCCCAACAGACCTTGAAACTAGAGACTAGCAGTCTTGACTTTTGAGGAATCCTAGTGTTTGCTGTGGCTGACCTCAGCTGTGGAGCTGCATGGAGTTCTAGTCCTTCCCTACAACTATAGCTGCCACATCCTTCCTAGCTTGCATTCTCACCCCACCCACAGGTGACGGTCTCTCCCCACCAAAACTGGACTGTAAGGTATGAAAAAGATGATTACATCAAATGCACAGACGTCAACACTAGGCTACAAGAAACAGCAAAAAATCAAGGAAGCATGACACCACCAAGAGAACAGTTTTCCAGTAACCTACTCCATAGAAATGGAGATATATGAATTTCCAGACAAAGAATTCAAAATAATTGTTTTAAGGAAGCTCAGCAAGCTGCAAGAGAACACAGGTACACAATGAAATCAAGAAAAACATATGTGACGAAAATGAGTTTAATAGTAAAAAACAAAAACAAAAAAAAAAACAAAAAAGCAATAAAATAGAAATCCTGGAGCAGAAGAATAAATACAGTGAATGAAGTCAGTGGAGAGCATCAGTAGGAGGCTTGATCAAGCAGAAAAAAGAATTTGTAACCTAAATATCACTTGAAATTATCCAGAGAAAAAATGAAAAAGAACGTAGAAAGCCTCTGTGAATTATGGGACACTAGTAAGCAAAACAATATTTGTATTATGGGAGTCCCAGAAGGCAAAGGAAGATAAAGGGGAAAGAAAAATGATTTTTAAAAATAATGGTTGAAAACTTCCCAAAACTGCAGAGAGGTATGGTCATCCAAGTACATAAAGCTCATAGGTCCCATGGAGGTTCAGCCCAGTGAAGACTTCACCAAGACATGTTATAATAAAACTGTTAAAAGTTTTATAAAAATTATTGTTGTAAAAGAGAGAATTTTGAAAGTAACAGGAGAAACAAACTGATCTGATGAAAGAGAATTGCCATAAGGAGGCTATCAATGGATTTATCAGCAGAGACCTTGCAGGCCAGGAGGGAATCAGATGATATATTCAAAGTGCTAAAAGAAAAAAAAACTGTGAGACAAGAATATTTTATCCAGCGAAGCTGTCCTTCAGGAACGAAGGACAGAGAAAGACAGTTCCAGACAAACAAAAGTTGGGGGAGTTCACCAACACCAGACCTGCCTTAGAAGAAATGCTAAAGAGAGTTCTTCAAGGTGAAATGGAAGGACATTAATTAGTAACATAAAAATATATGAAAGTATAAAACTAACTGGTAAAGGTAAGTATATAGTTATGTCAGAATACTCCTATTGTAATGGTGGCGTGTAAATCACTTCACCTGGTATAAAGTTTAAAAGACAAAATTAGTAAAAATAACTTGCTACAATAATCTGTTAATGGATGCAAAACACTAAAAGATGTAAATTGTGACCAAAAAAACCAATGGGGGGACAGTAAGAAGAGTTTTTGTATGTGATTGGAGTGAAGCTGTTTCAACTTAAAATAGATTGCCATTTAACATAAATGTTGTTAAGTGTTTTATGTAATCTTCATGGTAACCACAAAGCACAATGCGCAGAAGATTAAAAGAATCAAAGGATACCACGATGGAGAATCATCAAATCACAAAAGAAGAAAGCAGGAGAAAGAAACAAAGAAACTGTAAAACAGCCAGAAAAGAAGATGGTGATAAATCTTTACCTATTAACAATTACTTTAAATATGAAGGACTAAGTTCTCCTATCAAAAGACACAGAATACTGAATGTATTAAAAAAAAATACACATATGCTGCCCGCAAGAGACTTACTTCAACTTTAAGGATACATGTAGGCTGAAAGTGAAGGAATGGGAAAAAAAACATTCCATGCTGATGGTAACCAAAAGAGCAGGAGTAGCTATATTTATACAAAAGTAAAAAAAAAAAAAGTAATGAGACAAAGACGATCATTATATAATGCAATTGATTAATCAAGAGAATATAACAGATTATAATGTGATCCCAGAATAAATAAAATCTTAAAAAAGAGAATATAACAATTGTGCAGACATATGTACCTTGCATTGGAACACCTAAGTGTATACAGGTGAGAGTATTAGCAGATCTGAAAGCAGAAATATACAGCAACACAATAATAGTAGTAGGAACTACAATACTTCACTTTTTTTTTTTTTAGGATTTTACTTATTTATTCATGGAGCCACACACACACACACACACACAGAGAGAGAGAGAGAGAGAGAGAGAGAGAGAGGCAGAGACACAGGCAGAGGGAGAAGCAGGCTCCATGCAGGGAGCCCGAGGTGGGACTCGATCCCAGGACCCCGGGATCCTGCCCCGGGCCTAAGGCAGACGCTCAACCACTGAGCCACCCGGGCGTCCCAGCACTTCACTTTCAACATGGGTATATCATCCAGACAGAAACTCATTAGGGATATATTGGGCTTGAGCTACTCTTTAGACCAAATGGGCTTGATAGACATATGTAGAGCTTATCACCCAACAGCAGCAAAATACATCTAAGCACACACGAAGCATTCTCCGTGATAGATCGTACATTAAGTCACAAAACACATCTTGATGCATTAAGAAGACTGAAATCCTATCAAGTATCCTTTCTGAACCCAGTGATATGAAACCAGAAGTTAGTAATGGGAAGAAAGCTAGGAAATTTGCAAACATGGAAATTAATATATTCCTGAACCACCAATCGGTCAAGGAAGAAATCAAAAGGGAAATCTAAAGTATCTTGGAACGTATGACAAGGGAAACACAACATATCAAGACTTACGGGATGCAGCCAAAGCAGTCCTAAGAGGGCAGTAGAAACACCTAACGTAGGGAAAAAAGAAAGCTCTACAGTAAACAACCTATCCTTATACCTCAAGGAACTAGAAAAAGAAGAAACAAGCCCAGTTAGCAGAAGGAAGGAAGATCAGAGCAAAAATAAATGAAATAGACATAAAAAAGCCAATAAAAAAGATTAATGTAATAGCTGTTTTTTTTAAAAGGTAAATAAAATTGACAACATCTGTAAAATATGAAAAGAAAAAACTATTCACCTAAAAATCTATACTCAGAAAGTGTCTTTAAAAACTAGAGGTAAGGGGATCCCTGGGTGGCTCAGCAGTTTCGCTCCTGCCTTTGGCCCGGGGCGCGATTCTGGAGTTCCGGGATCCAGTCCGGCGTCGGGCTGCCTGCATGGAGCCTGCTTCTCCCTCTGCCTGGGTCTCTGCCTCTCTCTCTCTCTGTCTCTCTCTCTCTCTCTCATAAATAAAAATAAATCTTAAAATAAAAAAAAAACCCGGAGGTAGAATATTTATACAAAATATACAAACTCTGAAAGAGTCTGACTCAGGCTACAGGAAACTTGGGAGGCAGCCCTTCAGGTAGAAGAAAGCGGTGCCCGGTGCAGGTCCAAGTCTGCAGAAAATAGTGAGGAGCCCCAGAAAGGGCGACAACGTGAGCAAATGTGAAAGACTTTTTAAGATATTTGAATCTCTTCAAGAGATCATTGGCTGTTTAGAGAGGAGAGACCGGTGGGAATCACAAGACTTCCCGTTGAGATGCCAGCTCCCTCCGGGTTGGGACGGTGGCTTCAGGGCACCGGCAACCAGAGTCCCAGCGGGAGTGCTTCGGAGAGGGACACCCTCATGGTAAAACGTGGATGGAAATGCAAAGGAACCAAAATACCTAAAAGCCACTTTGGAAAAGCAGTGCGGAAAAAAAAAATCTAAAAAAAAATAAAAAAAAGGAAAAGCAGTGCGGTGTCTAGAAGGTGGACGCTGCGTCACCTGAGGACGTACGATAAAGGACAGTAGTTCAGCCAGTGTGGTGCTGCTCGGAAGGAGGTGACGCAGATGAACGGGATGAAAGGAGCCCAGAGTCAGAGCCGCAGACATGAGGCCCGCTGACTTGACACAGGTGTAGTGTTCCTGGAGCAGGTGACTAGCCACGTGGTAGAACAAAGGAAAGCCGTGGCCCCCTACTTCACTCTATATACAGAAATTAGCTCAGAATGCACCGTAGACCTAAATGTGAGAGTCAAAACGATACAGCTTTTAGGAAAAAAAATTAAAAAAAGTCTTTGTGACTTTGAGTTAGGCAAAGAATTCTCAGAAGTGATGTCAAGAGTGTAATCCATACAAGAAATTAATACATTTTGTTAAAACGAAGAACTTTTGTTCTTTGGTATCGTTCAGAAAATGGAAATACCAATGAGATCCCGAGTGCAAATGTCTGCAAATCACATATCTGATAAAGGGCTTCGTATCCAGAGTATGCAGAGAACTCTCAATACTCAAGAAAGCCAACAACGGAAAAAAAAAAAAAAAAAAAAGAGGCGGGGCGACGGGGTGGGGGGGACGCTCTGGATAGACACTTGCCCCGGTGAGGATGCGTGGATGGAGGGAGGAGGCGCTGAGCATCCCGCCCTGTGACGCCACTAACTGCTCTGTCTGGGAAGAGCTGCTTTTCCAAGTCCTGACGACTTCGGCTTTGCTTTTACACAGAACAGTGCACTTCTGGCACTTCCAGCACCAAAAGGGGTGGGTGTTCCCCACCTCGAGCCGTTCTCTGGGACTCCGGCCTACGTGTCCTACAATTTTATGCAACCCTGACGCTCTTAACTGGGGGCAGCGTCAGATCCCACGGGTGAAGGACTCAATCCCACAAGGCTGCCCCCCGACTTTGGTGCCAACAGCGAGGAGAGAGGTCCCCAAGTTACCCGCAGCTTCTGTCATCTTTGCCTGCGAGTGAGGGGCTCCCGCAACCGCCTCCTCGGGTTTGATTAATTTTCCAGAGCAGCTTACAGGACTCAGGGACACACGTTTGCCGACTTCTTGTGTAATAAATGACGTGATAAAGGATGCAGATGAAGGCACAGATGAAGAGACACAGAGGGAGGGTCTGGGAGAGGCCCAGGCGAGGCGGGAGCTTCTGTCCCTGCGGAGTTGGTGGGTCACGCTCCCCACGTGTGGACGAGTTACCCACCTGGAGGCTCCTCGAACTCGGTACTATTGGGATTTCATGGGCCTTCATGTGTAGGCATGATCCAGTTATCGGTCCGCTTCCAGCCCCTCCCCACTCTGGAGGATGGGACGGGCTCAGAGTCCCAAGCTTGCAATCACGGGTGAGCAGCCCCCACCCGGGAGCCCACGGGAGTCTCACCCTTGGAAGGAAAGATGCCCCCGGGGCACCCCGAGGGTGTCGGGAGTGCTCCCCCGGGAACGAGGCGGAGACGGCCGTGCACCCTGCACAGCAGCAGACCCACGACCGCAGCCGGGCCCCACTCCCCGGGGGGAGGGCCGGAGGCCTCCGCTCTCCTCGGCCCTGGCTTGCAGCCCCGCAGAGCCGCACGCGGTTTGGTAGAGGCCAAGGGTGCCCCTGAAGCCCCCGGGCCTGCTGCCCACCGCCTCTCCTCCGCCTCTCCCAGCCCTGTCGGGGACCAAGTAAAACACATTTGCCGCATTCTATGAGTTCATCTGAAGTTGACATGATTATGTAAAAATTCAATGTCCAGTGAAATCGTCTCCCCCACCCCACCCCCCCGGCCTCCGCCCGGCACACAGTTAAAAAGGTTTTTTAAAAAAACTGTTTTTCACTTAACATCTTTGCATTTGGGGGAAACATCTTAAGCTTTCGTTGTATGTCTTTGTATTCTCTGATTTTTTGTTGTTGTTGAATCTCTACCTAGCACATTAGTTATATTTTAAAACGGTCTTTGAAGCCGAGGAATGTGCGTGATTGCGTCGTTCGTGAAGCATCTGCCCCGCTGACAAAACCCGTGTGTCCTGCAGGATCCCGGGAAGCTGATTGAAATCGAATGCCTGGAGTACGAACTGGAAGCTTTAAGACTCGAGAGTAAAGTTAAAATCTACGTCCGAGCAGCTGTTGAGGTAAGTCCCTGAGCAGGAGTCAGCGACTCGGAGCGGTTTCCACGTGTCCTGGAAGCTGCTGGCTCCCGGGAGGCGGGGACACGAGGCCAGCGCCCCAGTCTGCGGGTTCACACCCGTGACACGGCCTCTGGTGGGAGCCGCACCAGGACTGGCTGCCGCCCCCCACGGCATCCCTGGGCCCGTCGGGGTCCCGCAGCCCGTGTGTGGGGCTGGAGGGGGGCAGGGGAGCCCCTGGGGAGCCCTCCTGCCGCCCGTGTGCAGCTGCTCTTCCCCTCGCCAACGTGCACGCTGACGGCACTTGCCCTTGGTCAGGGCCTCTGTGTCCCCGTCGTGGCTCTTTGCCCCTGTGACTCTTGTCCAGGAAGGCAGGAGTGGCCTGCCCGGTGTGGGGCCATCCTCCTCGCTGGGCCTGGGGGTGGGGTAAGGTCACTGCCAGGGACGGGGGCCAGGGGGTTCCAGGGGTGAGCAGAGGAGGGTCGCCAGAGGGGGTTGGGCATACAGGGACCCCGGGCGTGCATGGGGAGGGGCGGGGAGGCAGGTCCCAAGGGCTCACACTGGGTTGTGTGAGCGCAGGGCCCAGAGCAGGGGGTTGTGTGAGCTCAGGGTCCGGAAGCAGGGGTGCGAGCTCGGCTCACTGTCCCTCCCGTCTGCTTACTTCGCGCGGTAGGATTTGGCCCAGCAGCCCTGGCCAGAGAAGGAATCCAGAGAGTATTTTAGACGAGTTTTGAATGAGGATTTTGCAGCTTAAAAAAAAAAAAAATCTGTTGAAACAGTCACGGTGGCCCCTGTGGATTTGGAGGCCGGTGCGGTGGGATGAGCTCGGGTGCCTCCGGGGGCCAGGGATCCGCCGTCCAGGCTTCGTACCCGCACCCCCAGCTTCCCGTGCCCCCTTGCACTGGCACGTGTGGCTGCCGGCGTGGACCCATCTGGCTCCTGGCAGAGCCTGTCCAGGGGCGCAGGCGGTGGTTGGCAGAGCCCACCGGGGCCACGTTCGAGCAGAGGAGGCAGTGGTGCGCGGGGCCCCTGTGCTGCTGCCCCGGGCGCCCGTTCACCAGCAGCAGGACGGACACCCTGGGGGTGGCGGCAGCCAGAGGCCGCGGGACGTGGGGCGAGCTCAGGCCCGCTGGCAGCCCCGGTGGGCTCTGAGGAAGCGTGGGGCTGGTAACCGGGTCCACGGATCCTCAGATGTGGGGCCGGAGCCTGTGGGGTGGGAGGAGCGCATAGCAGAGCAGAGGTGTTCCTGGGGTGCTCCCCGGCCTCAGGGCGCAGTGAGCAGACAAGCCGGAGAAATGCTGGTGGAGTCAATTCACGGAAGAGAAGCGTGTCCCTGGGTGTGCAGAGCCCGTTCTAGGCCCTTTACGGAGGCGTCGAATACACAGCGGGGCCTTCCGGGGACGCTGCCCCGGCCAGACCTGCCCTGGCCCGCCGGCTGCCTCCTGACCCTCCAGCCCCAGGGCGGTGCGCGCTCCTCACCTCCCGTC